ATATCTTTAAAAAGAGGGTGATATGAGAGTGTGCATAACACTAGTGATCTCTGCTTGATGAAATTTGCTTCTGTTCCTCTGCCCCTACCTAGCCCAAAAAGCCAGTCAGATTCTTGTCCTTTTTCCTGTCCCCATACGCCCTACAAATTTAGTTTGTTTTGCTGATCCTTCCCTGTTTGCATCCTTCTTATTCCCTCATCTCTCCCCCTCCCACTTTCCTCCTATTTCCCTGTTGAATTGAATGTATTTTTATACCCCCCCCTTTTTTTTTTTTATATTTGACCTCTTTTTGACTGGTCAAGATGAAAGTGAAGTCCTAGTGATGACTGCTCCCACCACCCCCCTTTCTTCGTTTATAGACATCTACTTGCCACCCTGTACAGTAGGAGCCAGAGTATGAGAATGTGACCTATCACTGCACAGTTAGTGTAAACTACCTTTAATTCAAACAGCAAAAGAAGTTCTAACCATCCCATGGGAAGACTTGAAAGTTACCCTGGGCCAAAGAAGGCACTATGCTTCTTTGTCTTGTTTCCGTACAATATCGGACTTGGCCTAAGGGCGGTGGCAGAGATCTATGGCTGCCTTCTTGCTGCCAAGGACCGTCTTGTGAGCAAAATTCCCCAATTAATTCAATAAACCCCAATACATCTACACATTCATAACCACGCTGGCACGGTCTACTTCTTCCCTCTGCGTCTCAGTGCCTTCCCATTACGGCGGGACTGTTCCTTTGGATGGTTTGTGTCCTTACACGCCTTGATTATGTGAGATAGTAAGTTGTCCCACCTCACTGCCCCTCACCCTCCCTCCAAGAATTCCCTAGAACAGAAATGTCAAACATACAGGCTGCGTGTGGCCCACAGCACAACCAAGTGAGTCTAAAAAAGACTAAAATGTCACTGGAAAATATTTAACAAAACGCGGTACAATAAACCATAAATATTACATTTTAGGTTAAGCCAACATGAGACCAGCAGGGATTCCAGTGTATGATTTTATGGCCTTTGTTTCTACTTAACATCACTGCTCTAGAATATTTCTTTAAAAAACCATCAAAACATAACAAAAAACCAGTCTCAGGGCTGTCTTTTTTCTTCTGTGACCTTTGATGACATTAGGATTCTAAAGGGATACTTGTTTGTTCTTTCCTTATTAGAAGGTAAATATTTTGACCTTGTATAGTTCCTTCCAATGGCTCAAACATATTTACCTTTTAATGTTTCTCTGCTCCTTTTATTTGGAATGCTTTTGATGTCCTCAATTTCATTAAGGTCAGGCTTTTTTACTCCCTGTAGGATTCCATTCATTTATTTCTGGGTAAGTTATAAACATTTATCTTTCCTCTTTTGGAATGTGCCAGATCTTGTGTGATCCTTACTATGGTTGCCCAGTACTCCAACTCTTTCTTTCGGGGTGCTTGCCTTATTTTATCTGGAAGGGAGCTCTTGATCTTGCCTATAATATTCCTAGAAGCTTTAATTTTAGGGTTTCTTTGATGAAGTGATTCTACTCTCACTTTGCTGTTTGGGCAGTTTTCACTCAAGATTTCTTGAAATGTGGTTTTATCTAGACTCTTATTAGTGTTGACTTTCAGGTAGTCTGATGATTCTTAAGAGTTTTCCCCCTCTGTCATCTATTTAATATATTTTACTGTATAACTTTCATTTAATTTACTCTAATTTTCATGGAGTCTGTTAATTGAGTATGGTTTTGCACAGATTGTACTAAACTGCTAAGTTCTCCTAAATCCTTCCTAGCACTTGCTCATTCTTTTACCAATTCTTTCCTCTAAAGATTTCACTGTTTTAAAGCCATTGCTTTGTGGTCCAGTGAGTTTTTGTGTGTGTGAAGCCACTGGGGTTAAGTGACTTGCCCAGGGTCACACAGGTAGTATCATGTGTCTGAGTCCAAATTTGAACTCAGGTCCTCCTGACCATGACTTTTTTTTTAAAGCTTTACTTGCAAATAGTTTTTCTGTTGTGTTTGTGTTTTGGATTTCCTTTATTTGTTTATTCATTCTTCCAGCCTTACTTCCTGATTTGCGACTTTGTGCTAGGGCCAAACCCTGCACACTCCTGGAGACACTGTCAAGGCCTTGTGTATTCTCTAGTGTCCTGTAACTGCTTTCTTTGGGTATTGAGTCCTGTGTTAAGGACCTCAGGGGTAGCTCAGATCAGGTTGTTGCACTTTCAGCTCACCCTAAGAGGCCTGATATGAAATGAAGTCTGGTTGCAGCCCTCCTAGTCTGAGTTTTTAAGCTCCTTACCCCAGTTTGTGTCCAGGTGACACAATTGCTGACTTGCTCTGGTTGAAGCTCCAGTAGACAGCTGCTGAGCCCAGCCCCTGTGAGGAACTTGGAAGACTACAGGTTCAGACTGACAGGCCAATAGACTTGCCTTTGGTCTGCGCTTCCTGCCCTGGTAATTACTGTGGATGGAATCTGAAATACTAGAGGCAGAGCAGCAAGGCTGCAGGCTCATTTCTGTACCTTCTGTACCTATATACAGCCCTGTCTGTAGGTCCCAGCCAAAGGTTCTAGGTTCTAGATTCAGTCCATGATGGCTCATGGACCCTGTAGTGACATAGCTGCTCCCAGCTCAGTCTACCACCTCCAGCTGACTGTGGTGGATCCTTAAGCATTCCTTGCTGTTGTACCCAGCCACAGGACAATGCTGAAGTCTCATGCAGGCCTTGCTGGCTCAAACTGGTGCCACCCAGCCCCCCAGTGTCCAAAGACCTCTTGATGTCTCCACAGGCTGACCTGGATTGGGAAAAAAACTAGTGGTCTCTCCTTGAGTTTCCTAATCACCACTCCATCTGGTGCTTTTCCTTCCTCTTTGTTGGAGTACTCCTGGGAAAGCCAGGCAGTACTTTCTCTTACCCTGACATTTTTGCCAAATACCCATAGTCTTTGGAGGTTTTAAGACATGTTTACTTGGTTCTTCATCTACAGATTCAGATTCTCCATCTAGAGATGGAAATAATGTGTTTTTCTGGGGTTCAAAGTGCCATTTAAACAGCAGAACAAAGGTTTTGTGGGAATGACTGATTGCAGAAAGGAAAGAGACCTAAGCCTTCCTGCCTTTGTGTATACCTTTGCCCACATTTGTGTCTGGGACAGACCTAGATCTTTGGAATCCTACAGTCTATGCAAGGTATAATAGACAAGGTCTGAGTAAAAGGCATTGGAGTAAACCTGTTAAAATCAGCTGCTTAGAAAACACAGAGCTCTAAGGAACTCTCAGTGACCCAGGTGATGGTTCTCCTGGAGATAAAGTAATGCCAAAAAGGTGAATTGGATTATTTACTATAAGCTGTCCAAATCAGCTTCTTGAAGTATAAAACAAAAATTCTAGAGTTACTCTCTCATTATCTAATTTGTAATCTTTTACTAGCAAAAGACAGGGGTTAAGAGTGGTTCATGTTATATGTATGTATAAGTAGATAGAGGGCACAGGGTGAGCTGAAGATTAAGGGGTCATATCTGGAGAATAAAATTAAGGGATGAGAGAGGATTATACTGGGAGAAGAAAGAGCTACCTCTAGATTTATCATTTTCCTGCAAATTATCTCACATAAAACAGAAAATCTCTTACAGTGAGGGAAACGTGAAGTGAGAGGGAATGAATCTTATTCTCATAGGATTTGGCTTAAGAGGGAATAACATACACATTCAATCGGTATGGAAATCTGTCTTACCCTACAGGAAAATAGGAGAGAAGGGACAAAGAGCAGGGATGATAAGAGAGAGGCAATTGGGAAAAGGGGTAATCAGAAGTAAATACTTCTGAGGAGGACAGGTCAAAAGAAAGAATAGAATAAATGGAGGCAGGATAGGATAAGGAAATAGAGTTATTTTCACAACATGTCTACTATGGACGTGTTTTGCATAACTGCCACATGTACAACTTATACTGAGTTGCTTGCTTTTTCAATGAGTGGTAGGAGGAAGAGAGAAAATTTGAAACCTAAAGTTTTAAAAACATGTTTTTAAAAAAATGTTTTCACATGCTACTGGGAAATAAATATAGTAAATAGAAGAGAGGACAGACTAGGGGAAGGGACATTCAGAATACATGCCATCTTGGGTGGGGGGAGATGGGGTGAAAATTTGGAACTCAAAAACTTGTGGAAGTGAATGTTGAAAACTAAAAATAAATCTTTATTTAAAAAAAAGTAGTTCATGGCTTTCATGATAGCCTGTTTTAAGCAGACTTCACCTACCACTATCTCAAGAAGATGCAGCCAGTTGTGTCAAATTTATCACTATTATGTAGCAGCCATTAAATCATACTAAGTAAGGATCCCTGCAGGCTTCCTACTCAGAAAACCACATATTAATGCTATTCATATTTTACTGTTATTTTGATTTTGTTAACTATTTCCCAATTTTTTTCTGGTTTGGGTTGCACTCAGCAGCATTGTGGGCCATGGGTTTGACACCTGATTTAGATTATATTTACAACAGAGGAATAAAATGTAATTGTACCCCTGTCACAACTTTGATTAATTTCTTGAAAATGTGTGGCTTGCTATCATGGGTCCTTTGCATGGTAAAGCATAGGAGTTCAGTCCTCTTTCAGGAGAGTGTGTCTTTCATTTCCTTAAGATGACTGGGGTCTGCAGAATGGAATTCAGGACAGGAAACTCTTTGGTATGGAAGAGGAAGTCTAACTCAGGACCTGACTCTAAGTTGAAAACTGCCTAAAGAGAGATCGTGGCATTTTGCTACCCAACCTTTTACAAAGGTACATGGATGTGAAGTAAACATGAGTAACATATTTGGCTGTCAGTGTTAATTTTTTTTTTTTAGTTGAAAGATTCTGCGAAGGGTTGTTTTGATTTTCTTGTACAACTCTAGCTATACCCAGGCAGAAGGCCATATAGAACTTTACCTTTAGACACCTGGAAACTTAGCAAAGCTAAATAAGGATTCTAAAGGGACCTAAAAAGGATTCTAAAGTGCTAATTGACAAAACTGTGGCCCAAAACACAGACAGAATCAAAACATTTATTATGTGTTCTTTTTGCACATGGCACTGTTAGGCACTCTACAGCAATGTGTAACATGCTGTGTAACAGCAAAACTGCCCTCAAGGAGGTTACAATCTAAAATGGACAATATCAATATCAATGTAGACACACTGAATAAGGCATTTTATAAAATTTTTTTGCTGTGGTTGATACATGTGACTGAAGGAAGCATGAGGGAGGACAGGATCAAAAAAGGAGGGAAAGGTGGCTATATTTTCAGGTGACCACACACTCAATGGGAAACCCTTTGGTAGAGTGGAGGTACCACTAAAATGAGTGGCTCTCCAGCATGAGCAGGGGACAAAAGGAATCCCACACTAGTATCCCCAAATGGAATACTCCTATAGCCATGATGAAAAAAAAAATCTGTAAGACTGTAGCCGACATTGACTCTTGAACTCCAGGTTAATGGGCAGAATCAGGTGGAGGGTCCTCCCGCCTTTCAACAATGGCCATGTGGTTGCCAATTACTGCATCTATCACACAACTCACCAATATTCAAATCTTTCATTCATTCATCCACTCAACATTCCTAGTACTATGTGCAAGGCACCATACCAGGTTCTGAGGGGGAAGCAATACCTGGAACTTAACAAAAAAGCCCAGTGCTAGGATTTATACATTCAGATGTGTTGCTGTGATTCAGTTTTTCAACCCCAGATCAGTAGAGAGCTATTTATACACCTGTATCCAGAGAGCCCCATCAAGTCTTGGGAACATGTCCACTATTCACAATCATTAATCATTAACTCAAGAGGCACATTTGATGAAGTACAGTAGTGGACAGGTTTCAATCTGTACTTGTAAAAGAACACATGTAGCAATACTCTACATATTTTGAGCTGCACAGGAAAGAGTTAATGGGGAGGAATCAAAAGGGGCAGCAGAGTGAAACAAAAGAAGCTAACTGTATAGAATACTAATGAGCAAGGACTGAAACAAGGTAGTAAAGGCTGGGCTAGGCTATTCTATCACTACAATCAAAATTCTCAATGGGGAAGGAAAAGCAGTGTTCCAATAAAACAGTCATATCTTGCTGAGTCCTTCAAAATATAGGCCTTGCACCAGTTTCTTGGTGGAGTTTATGCATAAACTGAAGCTAGGGAATGGTTCTCCCTCTGAGAACTTTAAATACAACGTTCTGCTTTACTGGGCTTGGTCCCTTATCTAACTGTATAGGGCAAAACTCCTAGAAAGTAACAGGGCTGAAACTGAAGTCATTGGTTTTTATTTCAGCACCTCAGTCAGTTTTACTATTCCTTGATGTTTGTCAGATTATCGGATATTAAATCCTTAGTGTTGGATTGCAGAGGTCTCCTTAGTAAATTGTCGTCACATGCTTAGCACATGCTCAGTTCATTCGAATCCCAGAAATGTAATTATGAGATAATTACACAGCACCATCTGGTTCTGGCTCTCAAGCCCAAATTTAATACCATGCATTCATAACCCTCAATAATCCCACAAGGCTTTAAAAGCGCAAGGAGATGGAAGGGACAATGAATTAGCGTAGGTGCTGGCTGGAGGGCAGAGTTCTGGTGTATCCTCTTCCTGCCATAGGCACTTCTATGTGGCTTTTCAGGGAGCCAATTTTACCAGACAGGTGCTGCTAAGCATTGCCAATGCCAAACAGGTGAAACAATTTATAAAACTGATGAGACTAAGGTAGCTTCCAAAGATCAATGAGAATTCATTTAGAGTTCTTAAACAGCCAACTGTGCTGAAAGTGAAGTCAAAATAAGTTTCCTATGATTACTGAAGATTTTGAGGACCAAGAAACCTGGAAGAACAAAGAACTCACTCCAGAACAAGCCTGGGTTGGAATTCATTGTCAAAGTATTTTCAGATCATAGGATCACAGATTTAGAGCTGGAAGGAACCTTAGGTCACGTAGTGTGACCCCCTTATTTTACAGATGAGAACGAGGCACAAGGAGGCTTAGTGACCTGCCTAAAAAGGTGATGGTGAGCTGTGACTTGAGCCAGGTCTTCTCTCTACTCCACACCCCAGCTCTTTGCGCCAGTAGCACTGCCTCCCTTGTCAAGCAGCCCAGTGAGTTCGTACAATCATAAAAGGGCGCAGCACTTTCTAGGAAGATTACAGACTTAAAAACCACCAGAGCAGTTGTACTTTGTCTTTTGCCCTAGGACATGAGAATATCAAGCACCATGGAGGGCAGGATTTATTAGGTCAGCTCAGGAAGATTCACTTTACAGAGGTAGTTTGGACTTTGCAAAATAAGCTCAACAGCAATGATGAACAGTTAAATGTGATCCCTTATTGAGAAAAGACTGGGGAATTGATCATTTAGGTAAGAAGCAATCTACATCAAGTCCTCAAATGAAATAAAGATAATCACATGGAGGTTGAGCTAAAGGATATCCCAGGTCAAAAGCAGACCACATTCCAAACCTCTCTAAGGTAAAGATTGACACACCACGCTACTGGCCAGGCCTAACTGACACATTCCCTGCAGTTAGTGACAAAGCAGGCTGGAGGAGGGGAGACAGGGAAGGACCTGCAAGTTGAAAATATTGAGTAACAATTCATGTGTTGTAACTCACCCGGGTGGGGCTGGCAAAGCAAGCTGAGAGATGCCATCATTTAGAGGACCAACGCAGTGCTGCCATTCTGCCTCCTTTAGATAAGGAATGATTCCTGTGCTAAGGTCCCTACACCAACAATTGCCAGTTTAAAGGAAAAGCTAGGACACAAGGATTTATTTCACAAAGCTATGACCAACCAACGGAGCAAGACGAAAAAAATGCCAATGATTTTATTTGAAAATATTTCCTATTAAGTTGATTTGTCAATTGTGTGATTGGTGAGATAACAATAAAAGTACATTGTGGCAGAAGCTTCTGACCTGGACTGTCACTATGTGAGGGAACACTTTATGCTATCGCACTGTGACTCCACTCAAATCCTTCAGATTCTCAGGCTGCCATGTACCACTTCACATCTCGGCAAAGGCACACCTTACTTCCCACTCACAGTCCAACAACTGGGAGATATGTTCTAGTGTTATGGGGTGGGAAGAAGTTTCCCACAACCTCCGCCTTATGACCCCAAAGTGACCCCCAATCCACAATTGTCATAAAAAACAGATTAAAAGGGGAAGTAGATGATCAAGAAAAAAAAGACTTGATTAGCTAAGAACTGAGGATTTGGGGAGGGCACCATCCAGCTTGGAGGTTAGTATGTAAACCTCCTTGATTTGTTGTCTATGCAAGTGTTGGGAGGCAAGAGGCCATAGAGGGACAACGAGAGGACTTGAAATCAGCTCCCCTAGTCTCCAGCTACTTCCCATTGTGGTAAATAAGGCCACATCCTGGAGTCTGACATTAATGGCAGTGCTCTGTGATGTCCACTACCACTGCCTTCTTCCAGCTGAAGAGAAAGTAGCCTGTGCCAGCCCCTGCCGCCACTGCGATGCAGAGGTACCCATTGTAGGTCATAAAGATAAGCATAAGAAAGTAGCTGATGACCACCTGGAAGATGTGCAACACTGTCTGCAGAAGGTGAGGGAAACTCAGCATCTGTTGCCTGGAAAACAAAAAGGGACAAAAATTAGGGCTGACCTTGAAAGTACTCACATCAATGAGGACACTGGGGTAAAACTCACTTCCCTGCCTGAACTGTATTTCATTCTTACCTCTACACCTCACTAACTCATCTCTGCTGGCTCCTCTGGGAGTCTGTTGTCAAGACAGTACAGTTGGCTAGTCAACTGTTTAGGGTGACTGAGCTAGAGACAGAATCAAGTGTGTAGGAATTACAGATTTCCAAGCATCTCTTCAGACTTGATGGTCATTCTGCTACAAATACTACATATTGTTCACATAATTTAGAAGAGATGTGTAGCAGAAATAAGGTTGCACTAGGAAGATGGCTCTAGTTCTGAATCTTTCTTGATTTGCTCAAATGGTACCAAAATTACTTGGTATTCATTCTGCATACATGTAGTTTCTCCCCAGTAGAATGCAAGTTCCCAGAGAGCAGGAACAATTTTATTTTAGTCTCTGTTCTCAGCATCTAAGATAGTACTTGGGAAATGGTAGACATGCAACAAATGTCTGAATCTGTGAAATGGGAAGAACACTATTTTTCTCCTCGGAAAGTAGGGCTATGACCAGGGCATCTTGGGGTTACTTCCATACCCATAATGCTTAAATTCTAAAAAGCACCACTGGCCAACTCTACAGTTTTGGACAGAGCAAAACTATTTTATTGCTGTCATCTAACAGTAGGTAGACAGATTTTGGACTCTAACTCCACAAAGGGGAAAAACATGTTGCCATTTTCACCTAATACTCTAGTATCTGTATTATCATTTTGGCAAACTCACATGTACCTCCCTCGAGGCACCTAGGATAACTGTCCATGCTTGTAAAAAAGATTTCTTCCCTTCCCTTTTCTGTACTAGATGGTCTGGCCATGATACAGTCCCAAATGTCTAATGGATGTAATCTAATTTCCACCAAGATTAGCTTACTTTAGGAGGAAAAACTTGGGGACCATGTTTTGTTAAGTAATTAAGTTACTGAATCCTTACCCAACAGTTTTGTGTGTTTCCATAAGAATAGTTCCATTTGGCCCTGGAACTGGCATGGAGTTGTAGCGAATGCTGACCTGGGATTTACGCAGCAAGCTCTCCCGGGCTATCTTGAGGCCTTCATAGAACATTGCTAACAAAAAGATAGCCACAAACGCCCCAGCCATTTCTAGTTAGGAAAAGAAAAAGAATAAGTCATCATATATAGAAATTCAAGGTTATGTCAGAAGGAACCAAAACAGATCAGAAAAATAAATGCTATTGTCATTTCTTTCTTTTAGCTAGGCATTGGGGTTAAGTGACCTGCCCAGGGTCACAGAGCTAGTAAGTGTTATGCGTCTGAGCCTGGATTTGAAATCAAATACTCCTTAATCTAGGGCTGGTGCTCTATCCACCACCTAGCTGCCCCCTATTATCATTTCTTAATACAGCAACCTCTACCTAGACAGGTGACAAGAAAAGAGAAGGGAAGCCCAGTGATGTTAAGACATGAGACTTGATATAAACTTCAAATCTTCTGTCAGAAGCAGGAACTCTGAAAGGTCACCTCTTTGACCCTTACATTATGAAGTGGTATTGGTGACACAAATCAAAAGCCTCACTGAAATCCAGGACTTCCTTTCCAACTAACTCCATTTCCTTGTATCCAAGGACATGCCATAAGAAATTTCCCATTTGGCACTCAAAATGGGTAGGTTTTTTTTCCTGTGGGGTTAGAATATACATACTAATGCTCTACTACTTTTTGGATCTTTCTTTCTTCCTCTGGATTTTGGGTGCCATACTTATTTTCTTGCCATGTAAAGAAAATAATGCATGTATAAACTTTCAAACAAACACAACCCTGGAATTAAACTCTAGGAAATGCTTTCTATGTCATTTAAATTTGACTGTAGCCCTGATTTTGACCAGCGGTAAGCAACTTGACCTTGATTGCCTCAGCAATAACAAAAACAAACAAAAACACTCCAAAATATTTCCAAAAGGATGAGATAAAATAGATTGGAAAGTCCACTTCCTCCTTTGGTGGGGTGGGAGGGGTGGGACTGGAGTCCTGGCTTAGGGTATTAAGACACGGTACCTACTTTAATGGATTTAAAAGACTGTACTTTTGCTAATACTTGCTTTGTATAGAACTCAAGCACAGTCTAAAGTCTGTATATAGGTATTTTTTTAATTTCAAAAAGATTCTATGGTTGTAAGCAATAAGTGATTAATGTTTACAATTGGTATCACATGATGAGTATTATAATCCTTACCTCACATGTGGGAAATGAAGCATAGGAACAGACAAAAAGAACCAATAACTGAGACAAAAATTCAGGTTTCCTGACTTCTACTTACCCCCAGGAGTATTGATCACCAATCCAGAAAACAACAATTCCACATTCTTATAGCCAAAATAGAAGGTCATGGGCTGCCAGAAATAGAAATGAGCAAGTTTAGATCCAAAGACAAAGTCAAGCATAAAACTGCAAGCTGAGAATGTGCCCGTGGAATTTTAAAATCACTAGCTTAAGGGAACACAATCTTAAAGAGAGATGTTTTAAGGAGTAAGCTGCTAAACCAGAGCCTGGATTTTTCCTCCTCTTCCATCTTACTTTATATACCTCATGTCTTCTGCCACTACCATCCAGGCCCATTTTAATGGGTATATGTTTATGGCTATACCATAGCACTGAGGAAGAGCCATTATCAATAGGCAATGAATACACAGCAGAGAACAGAGAAAACCTAGAAGGAAGCACAGCAAAGTGGGGCTGCTGCTTTGAAAACAATGTGTAGGATTTATTACATAGGTTTCTGTGAAATGGAAATTTTATTGTTTTATATTGAATCCTCTTATGTTCTGCTGTGTACATGGAAATGTTCTTTTATCTTCTTGTTTTGTATTTAAGTTTAAAATGAATTTTAAAAAAGGGCAATGATCACTACCAAGGCCCTCTACAGCAGTGCCAGCCTCTAGTTTTTAACAAAGCAGTTTAGTCAATGCATGAAATTCTACAGTTGTGGGGAAAAACCATAGGAGAAATAACACTGGAGAGCTGAGAGCTGGTACAAATTCTCCTGAGGCAAGTCACTTATTTTGTCCTCTTTGGTCAGTTTTTTCTCTCTACAAAATAAGGAGGTTCCATTCTAACATTCTTTGATTCTATGACCCAAATGGTGGGAAGGGATCAAAGTCTCCCTTTTGGTTACTCACCATCATCATCATGTCTCCTCCTCCACCATGATCATGAGAAGCTGTAGGGGATGAATGATGGTAGGGGGGCATAGTGCTATTCCTGCCCATATGGCTCATCCCATGATGGTGTCCAGCGGCATTCATCTTCCTAGGAAAGGTTGAAAATCAACAGCAGAATCCTCCTGAGATAGAGTTCTGGATCATTAAAGTACAAACCTATAATTTCTTCAACTCTACTTCTAAGGATATTAAAATTTATTCAACAATTTAAGAATTATGAGTTTCATGAGTCACAGATTTAAAAAAAAGTGTAAAAAGGAAACACTCAAGGTAGAAATGTCCCTAATGTCTGAGGAAAGGAATTAGTGTTCAGTTTCAGAAAAAGTCCTCCCCTAAAAGGAAGAAAAATCTTAATTAAAACTTTTCCAGTTTGTTATTGTAACAGTGTTCAAGCAGATTTGGTGACAGTTTAAAACCATTCTAAAGCTTGTTCCAATAACCAGCGATGTTGATCAAAAAAGCTACTGTTCAAGTTCAAATTGACAGGCCTGTATTTAATCAGAGTATGTCTCTTGTAAATTGGACTTCCAGATTTAAGTGATTTCTTCTGGGAGAAAGGTCTGTTGCTGCCCTAGGCAAGTTGAGTGACAAGAATCTGAACGCAGTATCATTTCTTAAAAGGGTTTCAGAGAGTGCAGCACAGAAAGCAAAGAGCTATTGGATCCATTTGGGTTTTTCCAAATTAGATAAGTTGAAACAACTGTGTACCCCGTCTAACAGTTACATGAATTGCCTTTTACCATGACACACTGCTTTATCACAGTAACTATGAACCCAAGTTAAAAGTCAACAGTTCTAAATCCAAGTAGCTAAAGGATATATCCCCTTCATTGCTTTCCTCAGGTTCTAGCAATGCAAAAACCCATAAAGGCTTCCCAAATAATGAGGATCATTAGTGAGGCCTCCTCCTCATTCTCTCTATCAATAATTGTGATGAAAGAACATCACGAGCTTATTTATTTATTAAACATAACCAAAGTTATACTTCAGTTAATTTTAAATGATGCTCAATCCAATTACATACATTAAAGAACTCAAAAATCTGGCATTACTAACACCGTCAAATTTCCTTTCATCTCTACATATTTGTGGATGGAATTGTGGAAGCAGAAACATGGTCTCTTCACTGAAGATTTTGATCTACTTGAGGAGATGACATATAAAGATAAATAGCAGGTTACATATGCTAAGTTCTAAATGTGTATTAAAGGTGTAAGTGCTACTAGAATTCAGAGGAAGAGTATGTGGTAGGAAGGATGAGATCATTAAGAACTGAATTGTCCCAAAGTAGCATTCTATCCTGAGTAAATAAACTGCAACCAGGACTTTACCAATTCTTGGAGGTCAGGTCTGAGGAGGATCCTAGTCCTTTCAACATAGCTGAGCTTAGTGGTTGGGATTTTTTCTTGATCCCATTCCTACCATCACAGGACTAAAACCCACAAGACATTATCAGCCTAATTACTTATTAAAAGGAAAAAAAATCCATCCATGGGAAGTTGTGCTAAATCTAAATGACTTTAAGAAAGGGAAAAAAAATTAGAATATCTACCAGTGTACAGGAACTGAATGACATGATATTTTGCATATTTTTTCCACTTGGGTTTTTCAGTTAATATTCAGTTAATATTTTTCCCTTCAGCAGCACTCAGAGCACACACAATGCAGACTGAAGCATACTATTTACTATTTTTTTCTCCCCTGTCCAAGCACACCACCCTTGGGCTCTCCTCCCTTTCCACCACCCTTCCCAACAGAATTTATACTTACAGATAATTTGGCAGTTGGCTACTTTTGAAAGTTTCTTTCACCCGATTTGATCTCAAACACCAAGCTCAGTTTCTTCCAGAATAAAACTGTGAATGAAGGAGAGAATAAGTCAAAGTCCAGACAGAGTCACAGCAGTACTATTTGCTGTCTTTACCTGAAGTCTGAAAGGAATGGTTTAATCTCATGGTAATCATGAGCTGTGCTGTCTCTGGTTTATTCAATTTCCTCTAAACTCCTCTGACAGCTTTAACTACTTCCTCTCCAAGGACTGCCTCTGCAGCTCAGCCAAGCCACCTTTTTCTGTGTATAGGGTTCGAGGTCTACAAAAGAGTAGGGTGCTATCTTGTTAGAATCACGGCCAATTTCTCAGTTTACAATGTAATCTGAAATGAACATGTGACAGAACTACTGAGATCTGGTTGATCTTAAAGACCTTAAAGGGGTCTTTTTTAACCTTTTGGGATTCTGAGGCTGCATGCTGATTCTTTTCAACTTGGGAAATGTCACTTGTTGAAAGTTCCATCTTTCATTTCTCTTCTTGGCCTTATTTCCCCCTTTCATCAAATAACATGCTGAGTGTATTTCAAACATGCTGACTGGAGAATTTTAATGATCATTGTCACTCAAAAACTCAGTGACAGAACTAATAGAAATGGCAGCATCCAACAGTTAGTTGCCTCTTCCTCTAGAAAAGCTCCCCGACAAAGATTTTGGAAAAGTCTGGAATATAAAGTGAGTACCATGGGGAATCCATTAACCAAAACAGATGCTAGGATCCTATGAACCACAGAAACCCCAACTTGCCGTGTTTCATCAGCTGAACAGTAGGTCTTTTCAGAGAACAGCTGGTTGTTATACTAGTTCAGTTTCAAACCTTAGTTACTGCCCAGTGGACCTAAATGCAATTATCTGACTAAAATTTAAGCGTTACATGCTTGCTTCTAGAGGCACCTATGTAAAGCTCAGGAAGCTCAGGAAGACCTGAGTTCAAATCTGAACTCATACACTATCTGTGTGACCCTGGGCAAATCACTTAACCTGTTTGTCTTAATCTATCTGAGAGGAAAGGAAGGCAAGCCACTCCAGTATCTCTGCCAAGAAAACCTCAAATAGGGTCATGGAGAGGTGGCCATGACTAACAACTGAACAAATCTTGTTTCTACTGACCAGAATACTAACAGATAATGGAATAATGGCAGATTTCTTTAATGGCCACTGTACTGCTTATTATCTCCCTCAAACCAACTTTAATATCCCCAATCCCCAGAGCAGTATCTCTAGCCAGAAGGCAGTTTTAGAGTAAAGAAAAGTACCATGCACTTGAAATCGGATGGCCCTGGGCCTACAGCTCACTCTCAGGATGCTTTTGTGCAAATCAGTTAACCTAACCTCTTGGAGACTCAGTCTCCTCATCTATAAAATGAGGGGCTTCCTCAGCTCTACATCCTATGATCCATGTTTCTAATGCTTTCTATAGACACACATAAGGTAAGCATAAGTCCCTGGAGGCCCTAGGTTCAAACTCCACCTTTGCCTTTCACTAGTTTGACCCTGAACAAGTCACTTAATCCAAGACAATCAATTACAAAGATGTCAGTCTAAAGGAGCTGAGAGTTTCCATGCTATGAGTTCCCTACAGCAATAAAATTACAGGTGCAAAGTGATTTCTTATTAAAGAAATAAAATGCCAATTATCAATATATTTACTAGATGAGGTTTCCATAGACCATGACAGTAAAAGTGAGGACCTCTCTGCAACACCATAACTTAAGCTTACTTTATTGCCGACAGCTTATTGGAGGGCTCAGTCAGGAAACTGGCCTGGAGCACGGAAGCACTGACCTGGTGGTGACTGATAGGGCTTCTAGGCTTAGTCCAAACTCCAGCCTATTCAGCATTTTCCTGTTATTGCACAACTATGGATAAGGAACTAGAGCCCACAGGGACTGGGAAGATTACACCTCACAGAGTGGCTACAAAGGAGGTGTGAAGAAACACCTGGCAGAGGCTCCTTTCTCCTCTGGCTCAGACAAAAAGATGCAATCAGTAGTCTCAGACAATTCTTCTAGAGAGTGCCTCCATTCTCTCCACAACTTCCTACGTAGTGAGAGCATGGGAGAATTCTTAAGAAGATTAGAGTCATGTTCCGTTTCAAATTCACATAAGCAGCAAACAAAACAAAGAAGTCTAGTCTCTCCTCAGCTTTGTGCTGATCATATAATCCCCGAGTTCTAGGCATGGAAGAGAGATGGGAAATTCAAGGTCAACGTACATGAGCATAAAGCAGTTAGAGCTATGATCATATGACAAGCAAAGATGGGCAGTCATTAAAACCCAGGACTTGAACTAACCACGTAGAAAGATGTTCTGAGAAATGTCCCCGGTAGAATTCATTAGCCACAGGGGACTTGGAGCAAAAACTAGTGTTGCAAACCTTTGTGATTTATCACATGCTCATTGTCAGAAATAATTCTCCTTTTGCTTAACTGTTTTCCTTTGTGACAAGGAAGGATTCCATGCAATAATGGGAAGAAATATTAGGAAAGTGTGTGGAAAAACAAAAGGCCTCAATAAAGCGTAGAGTTACGGAGAGGCCACTAGTAAAATAGGAAAAAAGGAACCTCAAACAAGGTAATCTACTGCCTGTCTTGTGTGTTCAGTTATTTTCAATTGTGTTTAACTCTTCATGACCCTATTTGGGTTTTCTTGGCAAAGATACTACAGTGGTTTGCCATTTCCTTCTCCAGCTCATTTTACAGATGAGGAAACTGAGGCCAACAGGGTTAAATGATTTGCCCAGGGTCATACAGTTTAGTAAGTGTCCTAGGACAGATTTGAACCCAAGAAGATGAAGATTCCTGACTCCAGGCCCGGCATTTTATCCACTGTACCACCTAAACGCCCCTTATTGTATCTCACCTCAGCCCAGTATGATGAGGAGACAATATAGCAAGCCACTTTCAATCTGGCCCAAGATTTCATTAGCTTTTTTTGGCTGCAAAAAAATCATACTGTTGACTCACACTGAGCTTGTAGGTCACTAACCCCCCACCCTTATCTTTCAGACAAAAAGAACATGGTTAGACCCATATAAAATAACTTGGGAGTTACTGTCTTACACTTATCCTTATTATCCTATTAGATTTATACCAACGTACAAGCCTGTCAACAGCTTTTTGGATCTTGACCCCATTATCCAATGTATTAGCTCTCCCTATTAGCATTGGCTTATCTGCAACTTTGATAAGTAAGCCATCTATGCCTTCAACAAACTGTTGATAAAATGTTGTGACACATATTCACACACAGTTTGCAGCTTGGAAGAAACAGTTCTCTGCATTTGGGACACCTGGATAAAGAGCTACTTCTTCCAAGCTGCCAATGAACCATTCTTTGAGAAGTGTGGTGGATGCTTAGCTGGTGAAAACAAGAATCAAGAAAGGAAAGGTAGTTGTCACATGGAAGAACTACATTTGCTCCATTTGAATCCAGAAGGTAGAACTAGAAGCAACAGGAAATTGCAAATTAGCAAATTTAGGCTTGCTGCTGGGGAAAACTCCCTGACAATCAGAGGTATCCGAAGGCAGAATGAACCGCCTAAGGCATTATGTATTTGCCCCTTGCTGGAGATCTCCAAGGAAAGACTGGATGATATCATTGATCCTGAGTGTCTTTGGAGAATGAATTCATTTTAGTGATCGGTTAGTTGGACTGGATGGCTGCTAAGGTCTCTTCCTTTAAGACGTCACTAACCATCTCTTTAATAAGACATCCTGGATTTTGCTAGGAATCAGCTCACTGGCATGTAATATTAAGACTTTTTAAAATTAAATTCATAAGAAATGTTCAAACTACAAGGAAATGTTCACTTAAGGAATCCACTTCAATCCTTTTTCTCCAAGTCTGTTATCTTTCCTAAACTGTGACTTACAGGAATGTACTTAATGACAAAATTTACTTAAGTGATACTACCTTTGAAGGAATAGCTGGTCTGGCTAAGTACAATAATTAAGGATCTCAAATACTCCACCCTACCTGAGCTACAGAAAACAAGAGCACAGAAAATAATGAAATAGGAAAGAAAGACAAGTCAACAGAAGAGGGAGAAATTTCAAATCCAGGGCAAAACACAGATTCCTAGATGAGCTGGAAGAGCTGAGATCATTTTATAACTTGTTAACATCAAATAAAGAGCTGAGTGAAGACAATTTGAAAGGACTGACCAAAATTATGTTTAGAGATTATTCTGTGTATTTTTATTTCCTCCTTCCACCTACTATACAATAAATCATCTTTTAAGTAAAATACTGTACATTCACAGCACCTCTATAGAAGTCTCTGAAAGGAGACAAAATGAGAATCTCTGCAGATTGTAAAAATGTTCAAGTAACAGCTTAGACTGAGTGGCTGAATCAGACTAATAAGCTGCATCAAAAGAGAAGCTTTTCCCAGAAGCCCTGGGATGCCCAAGGTATAAACTACTTCAAACAATTACATTACAAACCCAGATTTAAGAGCTTTCATTTATGAAACCAATAAAAATGACCCAGGCCAGCAAGAAACAAGAGCATGGCCTGGAGTTCAGAACAGCAACTCAAAGCATAAGAAGCCAAGAAATAGCTTCTCTGCTCAAAGCAAAGTGTGCGTACAATGATGAAGTTGGACTAATATGACCCCACCAACACCACAGCCTGAGATCCCACCTCCTGGCTGAAGGTAGGTGATACTAGATGATGACAAGGATAGCTGTGAGGAGAGAGCTGTCTTCTGAGTCGCTTGGGTTCAAGACAAGACTGACACATACAAGTCAAGATTGTCTGTGACACTGAGCAAATTGTGAGAAGGTACCAATGTGAATCAGTAGAGAAAGTGCCTTCACAGAAGCTCCCTCCACTGATGAAATCACATGTCTAGTCAAGAGTAATAATAAAAACCAAAAAATCTTGTGTGAAAGCCAATCTTCAGCCTGGGTTTAATTAGGTTATAGGGAGAGGAGATACTTGGTTTCTGGAGGTTAGTTCAAGGTTGCCCTCTCTTCCTCAATAGTATCTTCTCTCCATTATTCTGGTAAGCTAAACAGATAACA